TATAAATGTATCCTCTTTTACATCCCTGGTAGCATACTGATAAATTGAATTTCAAAAACTCCAAAATATTTGTGGTCTGAAGTGGGTTTTCATGTTGCCTTCATGTCCTTGGCTAACTTTGATTGAATAAATACACACTACTTCTGTTATATCAGTAACTGCATAAATTCAAAATGGTTTTTAATGAAAGTACTTTAAAGTAACTGAAGATAATAGACTCTGTTACATCTAAACATGATGCTGCTTTTGCTCCATTGTAATTGAATGACTGAATGCTTTTTCTGAATGACCAGCTGGGTATGGCTGTGAGTGAAGAGATATTTCTGATTTGTGTGGAGTTATCTAAACCACACAGTATGTTTAAAAAATGATACAGAATAAAAGCAGAATGTAAGACTAGCTCTAATTCGTCTTTTTATTTTATAAAACACTAGCAGTAGAGCCCGGCGTTGCCCGGGGATGTAACAGTAAGAGATAGATCAAGTATCGACCATCATAAAGACTGAAAAATAAAATTGACTATTATTTAGATTATTGTTTAAGGTTGACGGACACACATGTCTTAATTAGTTTTTTTTTTTTTTACGAATTGGTCAAACACAAAACTGAAACAAAATATTGTTTTCAATCGTTATGAGTCTACCGATTGAATAGAATTTATTATAAACAATTATCTTGTAAATGGAATTTTTAAAGCATTCTAAATGTAAAAATAAAGAAAAAAGTGTGCAAGACTATAAGAAACACTACCTGCCAAAAAAGTGAAGTTTTGTTGAAATCGGTTGAAAAATGTAGGAAACGCGATCCCATATATAAACACACACACACACACACACACACACACACACACACACAAACAACCTGGGTTTTATAATAAGTATAACCCGATATGAGTTGTGCCCCTTTCATTCTTGTGATGCCTCTTAATCGTGTTTTCAAATTGATTTTGTGCAAAAACAATTGTGTTTTTCCAATTTTTGGTGCTGTCAGAACCACTGCAAGGTAATTTTATGTAGTCCTGTGAAGTTTTGTTGAAATCGGTTGAAAAATGTAGGAAATCCGATCCAATATATAAATGTACAGACACACACACACACACACAACCTGCGTTTTATAATAAGATTTATACCACAGGAATGAAATAAATTGATTATGGAAAGGTATGTCTTCCACTGACCAGAGAGTCTACATGTCTGCATTTGAAAAAAGGAAAGTATTACTTACATTACCATGCTGTAGTGAAATGCTCTATGTGTAGGATAACATAGTGACTGTTTCTGTCGACAGCATCATTTTATATAAGAACCAGTCAGCTACTGCTACTGTTGGCCAATAGTCTACATCTGGAGATATATCTCACTACACTAAGCTTTACTTTGTTTGGAATATGACTAAAGACATTGAGCACTCAATGAGAATAAACTACATCATATAATGTACTTGTGAATATATTGTTATATTTAAGTCCTTGTGTAAAGCAGAATTTAACAAAGTAGGTTTTGGGCTTATTATTCATTGCCCGATTGTTTTGGCCTTGTACCAGACAAATGTAAGCTATTTCTATCTCTATGTATCTATGAGAAAGTCTGTGAGAAATTATATCAGAGTCTAGATGCATGCATGTATCTGCTATATAAACACACACACAAATCAATAACACATATCAAATACATAAAATATTTAGACTTTAACATATTCCAAAATGAGCAAAATTTCTGTTAAGAAAGTGCTAAATAGAGAACTGGAATGACAATAAATCTATAAAAGTCCAATCAACTTATCTTTCAAAGTTCTGTAGATACACCACTCATCAGTGTCAGAGGATCAGATTCTAACCTTCTAACCCTGATGAGGTAAACTTTGAAGTTGGTTGAAGCATAATTCAATGACTCAAACGAGAACAAATACTTGAGAAAGCTTCTCTGCATCTCCTACTGGGAGCACAAAACCAATGGCTATGTACAAAGCAAGGTCAAATGTCTTGTTGGCCAACAGGAATCTCTTCCCGCCATTATTAAGCATCAGAAGATGTCATGTTCTGGCCATATCACATGGTATAACAACCTCTGCAAGACCATCATGCAAGGCACTGTTGAAGGTGGATGCAAACAGAGACAGCAATACAAAAACTGGTCAGACAACATCAAAGAATGGACGGACATGACAATGCCAGGATTCACAACAGCCACTGTGAACAGATCATCCCAGGGGAAGTTCTGTTTCTTCTGCTCTTAGATCTCAATGAATGAAGTCAAGGGAATGATGATGACTATGCCTAATTAAATTCTCTACCATTCTGTACATAGGCATTTAAACACAACCAATTAAAATTTGTTTATTTATGCAGCAAATTCTCTTTTAGGCAGGTCTGATTAAATAAATTACAGACATTATGTCTGCTAATTTTTAACAAAATCTGTTCATACTCATGAATAACCTTCCGTGTATTGATATTAAAGTATGAGAGAAATGTGCTATAGCTGTTTAAATTTCTTTTATTTTCATATTCGAAGAACATTCGATCTTCTTCCAAGATTATCTTCATCCGTTGTGAGACATCTACAACAACATTCCTGTCCACATTCACAATATAAAAAAATTACTATCTCGACAGCACAACCATCCTACACTAAGAAAACAACAGATTCAGATTACAGAGACTAGAAGCAATTTATATTAAAAAAATTAAAGCTGGCACTGAACAGAATCAACTATGAATACTACAGTTATGTCCTGAAATGCCTGTAAAGGAACAGTTTCTCATGCTTTAATGTGTGCATGACCATGACATAACATGAAAAAAAAATCCATAATGAATAATTGTTTCACGTTCTAATGAACGCTCCGCACATTGTCAACAGTTTTGCATTTAAAAGCATAATGAAAAAATTATGGTAATGGATAACAATGCCCAACTTTGTATAAATACTTGTACTAATAAAAACATAGTTTTTTACTACTTGCACCCCTGAAGATGATTTCTCTCATCTTTAATATCAATACACAGAAGGTTATTCGTGAGTATGAATGGATATGGTTAAAAATAAGCAGACATAATGTCTGTAATTTATTTAATTATATTATATATATATATATATATATATATATATATATGTGTGTGTGTGTGCACACAAAACACAACAGGTAAAGTCGTCTCCTGAAAAGCAAATGTAATTCTGCAAAGCTTAAAATAGAGACAGTCATAAGATATAGGTAAAAATTATATATTACATTTGATTTATTTGTAATACTTAATTGATCTCAAAAATGACCTACAAGCTGTTGTTAACTGGGACAAGGAATGGCTTGTTAATTTTAATACTTCCAAAATGGAACTATTCTCTTTTACTCATCTGAAAGAACCCTTTTTACTTTCCATCAGCATGACTGATGCTAACCTCTAGGTGAGTGACTCATTGAATCTTCTCAAACTAACATTTTCTGCTGACATGAAGTAGTAATATTCTATTAAATCAATTGACAGGTCTGCTGGGAGGAAAGTTGGGTCACTGTATCATGCAAGACAATTTTTCTCACCAGAATCTATCTTACATATTTATAAGTTTAACATTCATGTTTACCTTGAATATTACTACCACATCTGGTCTCATGATCCTGCTATATATTCAGAAATTCTTGATAAAATCCAAAGATGAATCTGCAAAGCTATCAGTTCTGACCAGACATCTCACCTTCAGTTACTTGCTCACCACCATAATGTAGCTTCCATGTGCATTTTCTATAAATATTTTCATGGTAACTCTTCTGATTAACTTTTCTGAGTGGTATCTAGACTTTATGAATTTGAGTGCACTACTAGATTGGCAGATAGGTCTCATCATTTTACAGATGAAATGGCCAAATATAACCTTTTCTTCTATTTTACTTCTCACATAACTTTCATTTTTAAAAATTTATATGCAATGTCAATTGTTATCTTCTGTCTTCTTAATTCTTGTTTTTTTTTTTATTGATCTCACTCCTGATTTTTTTCTCATATTCTCAAAGACTTGGTAACTCCTTGCATCTTAGTGGCTTTATTGCCTTGTTTGGGGTGAATCAAATAAAAATATAATTACTGTCATGTGTGGATATATACATATATATATATATATATATATATATATATATATATATTATATAATTTTAAAACCAAACTAAGTCTACCTATGCATATATTTTAAGATTTGGATCTTAGCATCTTATTTTATAAATTTTAGTTGCTTTTGCTGATTGTATATTTTTTAACCAGTTCCTTCACAGTGGATCACAAATTTGTTCATTTACTTTTTGGAAAAATAAAACTCCAGAGAGGATGCTTTCCCATCTGCTACAATCTTAACCACTTCAAATTTAGGGTTAACAGTTATCTTTTTCCTTATATCCTTACAAAATGCATTTAACTCTTGTCTGTATAACAATATCATTCAGTAACTCTCTACCTGGAGTGGCTCTTGGACTTTGCATTGGGAGCATAATGGTAACAAAAATGCAAGGTAGAGAAGAACCAGACTAACAGCATTTGAAAAGTTTCAGGAGAGCTTGGATTATTGAATTATGATTCCATATGGAAAGCAATTCTTTTCTTCATGTTCTGTGTCTCTTTAGTATAAGGGTGATCATGGCACTCCACAACTTTCTATTATTTGTAGCTCTAATCAATACATGTCTACTTACTACACCTATTTTCTGCAAGATATAAGCTTGTTAGGTTGGTTACTTAATGCTTCCTTCTGCTTTGTCTTGAGTACATCCTATGAGTGTCAAATTCTCCAAGCAATCTTTCTTCATTATGTGTCCTATAAATTTCAACAGTCTCTTTACTAAGTATAAACTTTTTTTTTATTTCCACTTTCATTAAAACTTTCTTCATGCTCATATATTCCATCTATGGTAGAGTCTCATAATCTTTCTGGAGAACTATGCCTCTGTTGCTTCAAATCTCAACATCATCTGTGAGGAAATTGTTCATCATTCACTGCCATATGACAGAATTAATATTACATAGCACTTTGGCATTCTGAGGACAGTAAAGAAGGGACAGAAGAGAGAAGAAATGAAAGACATGAAGAGAGAGAGAGAGAAGAAGTAGAAAGAGAGACAGAGAGAGAAGAAGAAGAATTAGAAAGAGACAGAGAGAGAAGAAGAAGAATTAGAAAGAGAGAGAGAGAGAAGAAGAAGAAGTAGAGAGAGAAAGAAGAAGAAGTAGAGAGAGAGAAGAAGTAGAGAGAGAAGAAGAGAGAGAGAGAGAGAAGAAGTAGAGAGAGAGAGAGAAGAAGTAGAGAGAGAGAGAGAAGAAGTAGAGAGAGAGAGAGAAGAAGAAGAGAGAAAGAGAGAGAGAGGAAGAAGTAGAGAAAGAGAGATAGAGAGAGGAAAAGTAGAAAGAGAGAGAGAGAGGAAGTAGAGAGAGAGAGTGAGAGGAAGTAGAGAGAGTGAGAGGAAGTAGAGAGAGTGAGAGGAAGTAGAGAGAGTGAGAGGAAGTAGAGAGAGTGAGAGGAAGTAGAGAGAGTGAGAGGAAGTAGAGAGAGAGAGGAAGAAGTAGAAAGAGAGAGGAAGAAGTAGAGAGAGAGAGATGAAGAAATAGAGAGAGAGAGAGAGAGATAAGAAATAGAGAGAGAGAGAGAGAGAGAGATGAAGAAATAGAGAGAGAGAGATGAAGAAATAGAGAGAGAGAGATGAAGAAATAGAGAGAGAGAGATGAAGAAATAGAGAGAGAGAGAGAGATGAAGAAAGAGAGAGAGAGATGAAGAAAGAGAGAGAGAGAGATGAAGAAGTAGAGAGAGAGAGAGATGAAGAAGTAGAGAGAGATGAAGAAGTAGAGAGAGAGAGATGAAGAAGTAGAGAGAGAGAGAGATGAAGAGTAAGAGAGAGAGAGATGAAGAGTAAGAGAGAGAGATGAAGAGTAAGAGAGAGAGAGATGAAGAAGTAGAGAGAGAGAGAGAGATGAAAAAGTAGAAAGTGAGAGCAGAGAAAACCAAGAAGTGGTGACAAAAAACTGAGCAATTTGAATTAGTGAAAAAGTAAAAAAAAAAAAAAAAAAAAATAAAGTACAAATTGAAATAGGAAAAAGTTTTTAAGCAAAGTTGAAAATTTAATCTTTTTTCATTAAATTTAAATTTTTCTATTTTCCCATCCGCCCCCACTTCTTCTACTGACAAAGTTTGAAAAGAACATATTTTTTATTATCATTATCATTAGTTTTACTTTCTTCACCTCACAGTCACCTCTTGCAGTGACCATTGCTCTATCTTAGTGGAGACGATTCTTTCAGGTGCAAATAAGTTCAGTTAGTGAAATAGAAAAATGACAAACAGAAGAAGTTGGCAAGAAGAGAAAAGAATAAAAGTTACTACACTTATGAGTTGATTACATTCATTACTAATTTGATAATAAAAAAAATTAAAAAATGAAGAAAAGAAAAAAATGGAAATGAAATGAGAATCTAAGACAACAAAAAGAAATCATTTTAGTGACTGTGGATAGAATTCTATGTAGTTTGTTTTACTCCCCTTTTCTTTTTTGCTTTGTAATTCACAGACAGAAACACACACACACACACACACTAAAAGAAAAAAGTTGATAGCACTACTAGCACCACCGATAACAAAATCAAAAGTCATAACTAGTTAGTTTTGCATCCCAATGTCAATCATAAAAAGAATTTTTTAAAATGACGTTATATACATTTAATGCAATCTCAGCCTGTACCTTTATTTACTAAATTTAATTTGGATACAATTCCATAACTATGAATACCCAGTGAGTATCAAATTCACTTCTCAGTAGCAATGGTCATTGTTAGCTTGTTTCGGGTTTATTTAAATCCAAAACACATTTCAAATTGTAAGAATAATGAATATGAGTAAATAATGTATTAACAATTTTTTTTTTTTTTTGAGATAATGATTTTTTTCAGATACAAGTCCTGTTATTTAACCTATAGCTGGAGCAAGAAGATATGGATATATACCTTTCCCAAGGGTATTTGCATGTAAGTGAATGTAAAAAACTAGACTGGAATTTGAACTGAACTTTCTGATTTCTCAATTTGAGCTTCTATCCATCATATCACTAACAATGATCAACCAGAGAAGTGTGCTGAACTAGCCCACTTTGCTTCAGCATTACCCAAAAGAGAAAGGCACAAATTTTATAAGCTGATATTTAAGCTGAGTTTTGGTACAAGAACAGAAGTATATGTCTCTTGTATTTTTTTTTTTTACTGTAAGGTTCACCCTGTACAAGGACCAAGGTAGAGGGTTACGTTAGGAGGCAGCTTGTACAGATAGGAGAGGAAGGTAACGGTTAACCCTAGTCTTGAACAGGTTATGATTGTGATCAGAGAAACATCCTCTTTGGAATTGGTTCTGCAGAGCAGTGGTTTGTAGGAAGAAACTGTTCAAGTGTTACTTACTTCTCACTCATGGAATACAGAAAGAATGTGGGTGGTTTGCTACAATTTAAGCAGTGTAGCAGGTCCTTGCTATGAAGGTTAAACCTGGCTTAACCAGAGAATGTAGTTCATCTGAGCACATTCCATGAAAGTTGTTATACCAGAACATACCTATTTCTATTGTAAATAGACTCTCCCACAAATAATAAGTAGTAGTAGTTGCGAGTGAAGCTGAGTGAGTTGTGTGAGTCAGTCGATGTCGGACATTAAAGTATGAGCCCCACAACTAGATTGCTGCATCATTAACTATTATTGCAAGTTCCTAACGTTTTTGTATGTCGAACCTAATTTAGGACCGACTTAGTGAAATACAAGCCTCCACTGTGAAAACTACTCTACAACAAAAGTAGTGATAGAACAGTGAGAAGCTTGCCACATCCTGTCTGGAGGATGAAAAATAATTTGTCACCCACAAGGACTCAGAGATGCTTTTGAACTCAAGGCTAGAAAGTGTGGTCTGTGCTGCTTCTGCCCAAATATGACAACAGTACTCCATTCTTGGCTTGATCTCGCTCTTGTAAAAGTAGAGGATAGCACATGGAGTCAGGTACTTACTGGAGTGGTACAGGAAACCAGCCATTTTATCTGCATCTTTAGCGATCACTCATATGTATGAGTTCCACTTGAGGTCAGGTGTGAGTTTAAGGACCAATAGTCTCTCAAGGGATGGTGCTTCACAAAAGGACATCCATTCATCATGATTCACTACTCAGTAATAATGGCCAACCAGATAAGACTGTTAACTATTACACAAAAGACAGAACTAGTGCTACTGATGAGGGAAGAAAATGTATATTTATTAATATATTCTTTACAGCTCTGTTATATTACACTGAGCACTATTTTATTAACACCAGCACTAATTTGCAAACTTTATATATATATATATATATATATATATATATATATATATACACACACACAGGCTGCAATGGGTAAATTGTTGCCATTTTATATTTTTAATGATGTATATGTATGTTGTTTGTTTGGTAAAGAAAAGTAGGGTCAGTTGGGCACCATCTGTGAGAAAATGAGCACCATGACAAAATTCACTCCATCAGAAATTTTGAAGCAGCATGCTGTACTGCTTGGCATTCATACTGGAAGCTCCAAAATGAACATTTCAGAATGTTTGGGTGTCAATCTGTGGATAATGCAGAGGATTTGGAAAATTGGAGGAGTATAATGTGGATTATGAAGGTGTTTAGAGTGATTGCTAGTAATGTCAGCATTATGCCTTGTCCCAGAGCCTCAGACTCAACATGGAAACCTACATCAAATGTCTTGAGGAGGTAGTGCTGCCCAGAGTCAAGATGGTGGCTGCTGGAAGACCCTCTATCTGGCAACAGGACTCTGCATCATGCCACACAAGCAGGAGTACCCAGTTGGCTGTCAGACAATTTCTGTGACCACATCACCCTTTATATCTGGCCACTTAACTCCTCAGACTGCAACCCTGTGGATTATTATGTATGGTGCATAGTTAAGCAAGAGACCAAAAAAAACTTCTTGTAACACCAAAGATGAACTGAAAGCAAGGATTATGGCAGCATTCAGCAACTTAAACAAGGAGACTGTCCAGAAGTGATGCAGGAGATTCTCAAATCATCTGGAGGACATGGTTGAAGCCAGTGGTGATTTCATCAAATAAATTTACTCTTTACTATTTCAAGATATTTTTATGTAATTTTGGTAAATATATCTGTTAGAATGAGATGTCAGTGTTATTTTCAATTTTGCATAATTTAGAAGACACTTTATTCATCACAACCTGTGTGTGTGTGTATGTGTGTGTAAAAGCAATAATAAAATCTATGACAGTAAAAAAAGTTTCTGTTGTGTGTAGGTCAAGTAATCATCATGCATAAAACTGATAAAAATAAAAAATAAAAAGCTTATCCTTGCAATATGCAGTCCTCTGTAATTTTAAGTTAAAGTTGACGGTCAGTTGTTGACAACTTTCTAGTTGACTCCCAAAGCGACAGGTAAGCAAATCTGGTTGAAATTCCTGCACCTCCAGTTTAGATGACATTTCGATAAGCATCATTTCAGACATCTTTATTAAGATGCTGCATAATCAATGAGTATATCTTCCTATTAATGCGAATAAATTGACCACTCTGAATAATTTCTATATATTGTACTTTCATACCAACCACCACATCTCACAATTTAACCCGTCTCATAGGAGTTTGTTTGCATTCATCAGATGTGAGTCTAGCTGGCAATTCATTAGAATAATATCGATGATTTAAAAGAAAAAAAAATGAGAAAAAAGCGTCTATATTCTTTTGAGGGAACTGGCTTTATTCCAGTGTGAGTTGTCAGAAAACAAAATACAGAAAGATATTTTTTCTTAACTTTCTTCACAAAAAAAAGGTGTGTTGGCAAAAATAATTACTGATGAAAAAGTATCTTGTGGTTAGAAAAAAAATTGTCTGCTGGTAAGAAAGTTTATGAGTTGACCATTTTCAGACATTAGCGTCACACACGTAATATACAGAAAGTGGCATTCTATCTCCAAGAACACAACAGAACTAATTCCAATCATGTGAAAGAGATTGTTTGGCAATAATGCTCAAGGATGAACTCACAAATGTTTACCATGTTTTCAAGAGTTTTTTCTAGTAACTGGTTGACCTGATGCACATACTATTGAACCAAAACTTGACAAGCCTTGAAGTGCATGTGCCACTCAAAAATCTGGTTTTTAACTCCAAAACTATTTAGTAAAGGCCTCACAAATCCTTCAAGATTTCATTAACAGATACATCAGGCTTCACACAAAATATAATGTAGACAGTGCTCGAATTTGTTAATGATTGTAAAGATTGCAGAGCCATTTCAATATAGCATTACAAAACTACATGTAATAATTGAACACGAGTAGATAGCACAAAGCCTATTGGCACACTGACTCATTAGGCTGTGTACAGTGGTTGAATTCACTAACCCTTCTAAATATCACAGAATATATATATATATTCCTATATATATTTACATTAGAACATGTAGTAATTTGCATACTATTTACATTATTTGAACTATTGTGCTCATCTTTGTTGCCATATTTACCATGTTCAGGTGGTTGGAATGTCAAACTGAACCCTTTATTTTGCTTGCTAGGATAGACTGTTCTAGTTCCACATGCCATGTCTAATGGATGTCAGTTATCTCCTGTTAATTCCCCTCTCCAAGTTCTCCACTGCCTTAATCAGGTATTGAACTCACAACTCTTTGGGTCCTGTCACTAGATCTAACCAATTAAGAGACAGAGGGAAGCCATCGCATATCTGTGAGAAAGCGACTGTAGACTAGATGCCAGATCATGACCTATCACATTGCACATTTGTCTCTGGATTTTGTCAAGGACTTCAAAATATACAACTGGGGCGGGGGGCACCAGCCCATATATAATAGCAATATTCCATGCAAGGATGGATGATTGATTTATAGATTTGAAGGATGGACTCAGACAAGAAAAACTTTCTGGCATGACATGGAGAACCAACTTTCCTTGTGGTAGATGAAGCTATTGATTCAATATAGCTATTCCACCTCATGTCAGCAGACAATGTGAGACCAAGCAGGCATAACAAGGCACTCTCAAGGAGTTGGGAATCAGCCATTGTGATGGGAAGCAGGGAGGGTTCCCTGAGGTAGGTAAAAGAGTGCAGTTTCGTTTTGGAGGCATTAAAGTTTACAAGCCATTTCCTGTCTCAGTCAACACAGATATATATTGAATTCTGATGACTTGAGCACATAGGTAGCAAAATTAGACCAGAAC